CTCCAGGGATTGACAGAATACCAATCGAGATGTTTCAACACTGGAGGTGTTCACTTGTCTATGCGAAGACATTTGGAAGATAGTTACCTGCCCAACTGTCTTGGGTTCCTCTTTCCAGGTGATGCCTTATCTTTGCTCCCTGAAAAAGTACAAGGCGAATGGGGTTTATTTAAATATATCCCAATGTATCGCTACTTGGCCTTTTGGCTAAGTTCAAGTCTAACTATATCCCAATTCAGACCACTTAACATTGTCTCCCATCTGAGTCACTCCAGTAGCTTACAAACTGCCCTCCCTGCTTCCATTTGTAGTTCTCCGACAGTCTTCTCTACCGAAGAGCTGGCAGTACTTTCAAATGTGTGTCCCATCAAAACCATGCAGGAGTTTCTCAATCACTTAGGAATCAAACCCAATGCTTTATTTGGCCCACAGGGGCGTCTACACTCTGCCACCTGCCTACCGTTCTACTTTCATTACTGCCATTCTGCGTCACCCAGGTTGGCTGTTTCGTAGTTTTCAGAAGGCACCAAACATACTTCCATGCTTCCCTCCCTGCCTCAAAGCCCCTTTCCTAGAGTCACATGACTTACTTCTTCATTTTCTCCAGGTCTCAGCTCAAATAGCACTTTTCCCCCCAGATGCCCTTTATTTCACCTCTAGCTCAAGAGAAGATCATTGCTCACTTTCTGTCTATCCCTTTACCTTACTGTATTTTTCGCCACAGGCATCTGCTTGTCCTTTTTGCTTGCCTGTGACTGTCCAACAGAACTTTCAGTGATGACGGAAATGCTCTATAGAACCCCGTGCTGTTGAATACACTAACCATTTGTCACGTTCTCATGGGCACTTGAAGTATATCTAGTGTGACTGAAGGACTGAAATTGATATGTTGTCTGGTTTTAATTAATTTCGATGATCATAGCCATGTGAGGCTCTGACTCCTGGTGACCATATGCATAACAGAATGAAGCATTACTTGGTCCTGCTGCATCTTCATGATTGTTGATGGGTTTGGTTGCCTTGTGCGTGCCTTCCAAAGACGTCATCTAGCAAACAGTGATCTGCTGTGGAGATCCCATGATAGAATTTTGTAAGAGCATTTGCATTGGCTAATTTCTAAACTTGGACTCGAATAAGGAAGACTGAAGAAGAATCAAGGCACTTGAATTATGGTGTTGGTGAAGAAATTTCAAAGTAGCACGGGCCGCTAAAAGAAAGAACAAATCTGTCTTGGTAGAAGTCCATCCAGATTGCTTCTTGGAAGCAGGGATGGTGAGACTTTGTCTCATGTACTTTGGACATGTGATCAGGAGGGACCGCAGTCACTGGACAAGAACATCATGCTTGGTAAGAGGTCAGAGAACAAGAAGAAGACCCTCAGTGATGTATTGACATCGTGGCTGCAAGAGCAGCAGTGATTGGGAGGATGTTTACAGGACCGGCGGTGTTTTGGTTGGTTGTACACAGAGTCCTCATGAGATGGCACTCAACAACAACATGGTTTCTGAAACAGATATTTCCAGGCCTTTCTTCCTTGTCTGATTTAGTCTGGAAGTGCCACTGAAATTGAGGTGTTATGGGGACCTTGCCTGAATTTGAAATATTAGTGGCAGGCTTTCATTATCATAGTAACATGCAAGCCACTAAAGTGTGATCAACTGCCTGATAGATTGGCAGCACACAGGACTGGAATCCACCATCTTGGACAACACAGCTCTAGCATCTAAGCCCCATGAGGACAAAGACTTCATCATTTTACTTGAGGGTGTAGTCCTTGGATCTGGACAATGTATGGCACAGAAGGGTATTGAAATGATACTTGTTAAAATGAGTCAGTGATTAGAACATTTGACTAGGGCTATAGTCCTAGTAATTAGGTTGGCGATCTCATGTGAATAATTTGATCTCCCCTTGATAGAATGCTGTTTTGCCATGTACATACTTTTTGTGAGACTGGAGATTGAACTGAACATGATAGTACCATAGAAACTATACAATACAGTCAAGATGAACGTATCATTACTGTTCATGGGCGAGAGAAGTTGGTGGTAATGATTGTATTTCTGGGGGATCAGAGGCTAGGGCTGAAAACATTTCTTTGTAGTCTCTGAGCATGGTATGAAATGTAAAGTTTTCTTATTTTGATGAATTCCCTCCTTCCTGCTATTTCATATATTTTTGGCTTTCTACTCCCTCCAGGGGACAAGCTGCACATCTGTTTACATCATGCCTTTTTAATCAGATTCAATAAATGATGTGTGCCTGTGCACGTTTATTAAATTAAAATTGTGCTGATTTTGTCTGTCTGTCAGAAGGCTGAGAAATTGCAAGATACTGTCTGTTTATGTAAGCACGGAAGCCAATTACCAAGAGCTGGAGCCAGGGGAGCACATTTGGCTTCATAACTGACCATACTTGAGGGAGAGCGTGGATATATGCAGGGGTAGAAGGGACATCCAAAGGTCACTGAGCTCTTGGGCTATTGTCCAGATAGACTTAATGTACATCATCCGAGACATTTGGGCATCTCTCCCATTTTATAGGCCTCTAGGGGCAACGATCCTTACTCAGTCCTTCCTTACCAGCCTTTTCAATGTTTAGAAAGGCTCATTCCTAAAGGTTTTGAGGTGAATTTAAACAAAGATGAAAACACTCTAGCCCCAAAAGGAATGGCTAAAGATGTTGGATGTATGTTTCTTGAGTATATCTGAGTCTTGACTTTGTGTTAATTTTAGAAGGGGTTAAGAAGCCCTGTAACTATTCTTTCCACACCTGGACACCTTACTGGGTAATTCTTTTCTTATTTTTCATCCCTCTAGTAGTCCTTCTTAAAGGAGTAGGAAAGACAGGTCTAAAGCTAACTTGGATCAGAATCACCAGATATGTTTACTAAGCATGTCACTTTTCTGCTTCCCAAACTAGTGGCATTGGATTCTCCAGATGAGTGCCCCAGGAAGCAGCAGCATTTGAAGAAGTTCCCTGTCTAGAATTTGAAAACAGATTTGTCTAGAACCTTGTACTTGAGATTGGTTCAAAGTTCTTTTTCTTTGACGCATTATCTTTTCCCTATGTATGAGCAGTGAACTGATCTTTATATCTCTGTATATTTATTAATAATTACTTGTATTATCCAGCCAACCTAATTTGTCTCCCCGAGTACCACCTGCTTGGTCGATAAGCCTAGCTCCATCAGAAAGTGGTTAAGAAAGTGGACATTGGTCTAAAGAGCTGCAGTTTAGCTCTGTGTTTTCTGTTTCTGCCAAGCTATTCTTGAGGCCACTGTTCACTATGGGGTCTAAGGTACTTAATGTTAAAACAATTGTTAATTTTACTTTGTCTTCTGCACTTTATTATAATGACTTGTTATTAACTAGCATTATAATGCTTCTGTTGTACATGTGGTTTGCTCCAAGTTACCTTATCCTTTTTGTATATAGATGAAATATTATCTCCATATATCATACTTCTATGTAATATTTAAAATCAGATTTTGTGATTATCTGTTTGTTTTTTAAATGCATTGGTCATGTGCAATTTATATAGAAAATTGACAGTTGCCTTTTTTGAGAGCTCTGTACTCTCTATAGAGACTCCTGGGTGGTGCAAATGGTCGAGCTTTGTCGCTTCTAACTAATAGGTTGGTGGTTCAAACCCACCCAAATGTGCTTTGGAAGAAAGGCTTGGTGAGCTGTACCAGAAACTTTATACCTTTGAAAATCCTCTGGAGGCAGAATGGACTTGATGGAGACTGGACTGGATACTGAGTTTTCACGGTCATGCTTTCTTGACAATGTCTCACACAAGCCCATTGACAAGCCCACCGACAAGTGCCTTCTACTTCTGTAATCATCTCTGACAGCTGTGAGATGAGTTTTGAAAAAAATTAACTCGATTTCTCACCAAATGCTTGTGGTCTAGAACAAACTGTCCAGCCATAACATTATTCACAGATCCAAAAGTGCTTTCTTTTATTTTAATTTTTAACAGCTTTATCGACATGTAATTCACATGCCCTACAATTCAATGGCTTGAATGCATTAAAAAGACGGGTGCAATCATCACCGTAGTCAATTTTAGAACATTTTCTTTATTTTTGTACTCACTGTTGTTAGCTCCTCATTCCAACTTCCTCTGCCATAGCGCTATAAAAGTAAGAATGTAGTTATTGTTGCTATAGATTTTCCTATACTGGATTTCATATACAGGAAATCATACAGAAACCTCCCCAAACAAAATAAAACAGAAAAACCTCAATTGCAAAGAAAACAGAAGATAATAAAAATTAGAAAGAACAAATTAAGAATGGATCAAAAGGGAAAACAAATAAGATGCTAAATTTTAATCTATCCACATTAGTGAAAAAGTGCTTTATTTTAAATAAGACATGTCTGTGAAGATGGTAGGCTCTAAGAATTTCTAAAAAATGGTTCTCAGAATGATGAAGACAGTGCTGATAGAGGTACATATGAAGGTTTCATGATTAAAACTATTTAATAGTATGTGAGAATGGAAAATAATTCTTAAACTGATAGATTCTTTTAATAAGTTATAGGTATAGCTACATTAATAATCTCTATATTAAAGTTGTCTATTTCCTTTATCGTTCAAAAAGTTGACACATTAGAGTTGGGTTTCAAACCCATTCATTTTTACTTGTCTTAATGGGATACATTTCAACAGGCCCATATATTTGGTGACAGAAAAATTCCCTTTTCCTTTTCCACCTAGATGGGAGCAGAGATCACATCCAAGTCTAACTGGAACCAGCCACTATGTCACATTTTAGTATTGTTCCTTTTCCTTGTAGATTGCCCCCGAATGTTTGCTATTGGTGATGATAACATAGCATTTGTTTGCTAGTATACATTTTGTGGTCGTATTTGTGTGAAAATTCCATTGGCTTGGTTGGAACTTATAAAAGTTTCTTCTCAGCTCTCACGCTCTATACAAAATAGCAAGCATGCATACAAACTGTCTAATCAAAGCAATTTTGGTTTTAGTGGGGTCCTCGAGGCGAGAAGGTGTTCCTGCCCACGTTAATCTTTCTGCATCCTCCATGTTAATGATTGCAATGCAGTACACATCCAATCCAGGTAAGTGGACATTTGAGTTAATTAACTTATTCCAAAACCAACAATTAAGCAAAACATTAAGCAATCAAGTGAAATTCATGGGAAAAGGACTTCTTTGGGTTGAATAACTAATTGTTAGAACAACCTGTGTTTGGTAGCAATAGGTTAGAAAACAGACTTTTAAGTTGAAGTAGATTTCCCTTGCCTATTGCTTTTAGCTTTTACATGTTGGTCTGCCAGTCTTGAGGTCATCAGTTCAAAGCCACCAGGAGTGCCATGGGAGGAAGATGAGGCTCTTATAAAGATTTACAGTCTTGTAAACGGAAAAACCACTTGCAATTCTAACAGCCAAAGATAAGCACTGTTACTATTTTGGTGAATTTTCTACCATAGTGCTGCCTGAGCATCCTTGCACATACGTTTCTTACAGTACTTCCAATTACTTCTTTAGAAGACATTCATGAATGAGGGACTACTCTGTTAAAGGTTATGAAAGACTGTAAGCTTTCTCAAACGTTGTATGTGAAAGTGCATGTTTCTCTGTACCCTAGAGGCATGAATATTACAATAGACACGATATAAAGTTGGACAGATGAAAAATAAGACCTCATTGCTTTCGTTTGCGTTTTCCTTGATTACTAAGTGATGTCAAGTAGGCTTTTACTGATCTGCTTTCTTTGATCTTCATTAATTCATATAATTGATGATGGATATTGGAGTCACATGTTAAGAGATGGAATTCAGTTTTTGTTCTTTAAAAAATATTTTTACTTGGGAGTTAATACATATATCATATCATTCCATCGTTCAATCACGTCAAGCAGTATTGTGCAATTGCTGCCACACTCAGATTCCAAACATTCTTTTTCTTTCTGAACTCCTTGACTTTGTCGCCCTTATTTTTGCTTATTTTTAAAGAAGGCAAATTTTGTGGCACTGCTTCTTGCCTTCTATTTAATTACACACAAAATATACTTTATTTCAAAATCCGTGGCTTCTGAGCCTTGAGTGTCATCTTATTCATTATCAGCAACTTTTATTATCATTATATGAATTTAATTAAATATATGAAGGTATTTTATGGAAAATTATACCTATATTTCACACTGTCTGGCTTAAAAACATCACATATAATTTACACTTATTATGTATTATGTTCTGGGAAGAAACGAAACACTTTCGTTTAGAATCTAGTTAATGAAATTCGTGTCATAGATTTGGCCTTCATTTCTAAGTTGGAAGGCAGTCAAGGAGGATGGGTACAATGCTGGGTGTTGAAGTTAGACGCTATCTGAAGTTAGAGGAGGTTCCTATATGCAATCATCCAATAACTGGCAGTTATTGTAAACTTGGGAACGCTCTATAAGCTCCTTAAGATTAATTCCTCATCTATAAAGTGGGAATATTCTTGTTGTACCTCTAAAATGTTATTTTGAGGATTAAACCAGTTGATGTATGCAAACTCCTTATCTAGCATAAATTCTCAAAAATGAGCCAGTTTCCTCATGGTCTTGAACTTTTCGCTGGAAAACCATTGTGGTCAGATAGACATAATTCTGTATTTGTTCATGGGGGAATATTAATAACCAGATTCTGTATTCGGGCACAAAGCTAAACTTATGATGTGGGACATTGTTCAGAAGTAACAATTTCACTAGGAACACCCTTGGTCTGAATAGTGTAGCGTATTATTCTATGATTGAAATTTTTGTTGGGAGAAGCCGCAAGTAGCAATGTGGTCCTTGTAGCTGGTTGTGCATCAAGGTTGAAGCTCATTGAGAACTTCCTTTGCACACGGTTCTGTACTAGACATTCTGAAAATTGCACAGAAATCTAAGATAAGATGCTTACACTGGAACTTGTCTCTAAGTTGGAAGATTAGGAATACTCCTCAATCATTAATTCACACTGAAAGGTACTATGTGAAAAGTATCAAATAAATCTTATACCAGTGGCAGTTGTTGAGTTGATTCAGACTTACGATGACCCCACGTGTGTGCCAGAGGAGAACTGTGCTCACCGAGTTTCCAATGGCTACCTTTTGAGAAATAGGTTGCCAGGTTTTTCTTACTAGGCACTCCTGGATGGACTTGAACCTCCAATGGTCAGCCAAGGGTGTTAACTGTTGGCAGCGCCCAGGAATGCCAAGTAAATACTATGGCCAGTGCTAAATGCTAATTCATCAGAAAGATAATTCTATGAAGTGATCATGCCACTTGAGCTCAGTATGAGTCTTAAAAATATGGATAGAATTTAATGGAGTGTATAGATGAAATATTCTGGGAAGAAGAAGCAGTTTAAATACATTGACTTTTCAGTTCTGCTCCAGGGACAGTTAGTTTACCACTCTGAGCAACGTTCGTATGATAAACTCATGGGGCATGGCACTACGTAAGAAATAGGACCGTGGTCCATCAGAGAATTCGGTGATGGCTTAGGAACAAGATTCTGGTTCTACTTAAAAATCATATCAGTGGGTGCCCACTCTACTGACACAATCACTGTAGATAAACGTGTGCATAAGCAAATGTGGTGAAGAGAGCTAAAAGTGCCGGGCTATCAAAAATAAAGGCTTGAAGATAAACAAGTGGCCATCCAGCTGAGAAGCATCAAAGCCCACATGGAAGAAGCACACCAGCCTGTCTGACCACGAGGTGCAGAAGGAACCAGTTATCAGACATCAAAGAACTAAAAATCAGATCAGTAGGTGCCCACCTTCCTGATATGATCACTGAAAAAAAGGGTGTACATAAGCAAAGGTGGTGAAGAAAGCTGATGGTGCCTGGCTATCAAAAGATATAGCATTTGGGGTCTTAAAGGCTGGAAGATAAACACGTGGCCAACTAGCTCAGAAGCAACAAAACCCACATGGAAGAAGCACACCAGTATGTGTGACCACGAGCTGTCGAAAGGATCGGGCGTCAGGCATCAAGGAACAAGAAATCATGTCATTGTAAAGGTGGGTGAGTGCAGAGTGGAGACTCAGAGTCCAT